CCTACAACATATATAACCTAGTAGACCTTATCCTTTTCCTTAGAACGCCAAAATATTATCACAATATCACTAAGGAACAAAGATAAGAATCTACGCTTTTTGGATTATCAATAGCAACATGAGATTCCACTGCAAGCGCAAGGTTAAGGGTCAATAAGGGTCGTCACTGTACACAACTGAGTGAGTGACCCTTATTGGAAAATGACCTCGGCGTGACTGTGTTCACTCCCGCCACGGCCATGTACACACTAATCCTTTCTAGTCCAGTCCTTCTAGACGGAATAATCATCTAGAAATTCCAGACTTCACATACAACGCTCCTTCGAGGAACATAAAAGGGGTATTGTGAGAACTTTTGTATATAAATGTGTATACAAATATTTATTTAACCATAAATTAGGAACATTTCAGTAACTTTCAGAAGCCTCACGCCTCACATACATAGGAAGGACTCGAAGAACTACAGCTCGGACTAATCCATCCCTTTCTACTATTAATTCTATTGCAAACCTCCGTAACAGGGTGACATGACACTCATCGTTATACTTACAGCAAAATGGCTTCCTCCTATTTTCTTCGAACCATATTTATTTGGGTCAGTTTCCTAGAACGAGTACACGCGAGGTCAGTCAAGGTCATTCTATATCCTCCTAGCACTAGGTGGTCAATCTCCCAGCTCAGCTGAACTTAAGGGGTTAAAACTCAAACGGTGATTTCACTGAACGAGGGAAAGACAAATGCGTATCATCATATTGTGTGTGTTGGTGTAAGCGTACGACACAGCAACAATAACAGCTCATAATTTTAACAAGATTAAAACTAAAACGCACTTACTTTGTGCTTTCTATGTAGCAAAGGCCGAGAAAAGTATCATCAGTAAATTGAACAGATTTTCCTGAAGGCGTCTGAAATTCCTGCCGTGTTGTAAGCTGACGCCACTGAAGTTTGATAATGTGGAGAACGTGTACTTGTACCACACCCGGAGGAGTGTGACGTGCGTGTGCTGTGGAGACCCTTCGTACAGAACAAAATTCAAGTGAGAAAGACAGGAACGAGAGCTACGTCCATCACTTTTGTACTCTCACCATTAGTTGAGTCAGCCAGCAAGTGGAATAAGCTCATTGACACTATCCTATATTATTAAATACACCGGCCTGTCAACTGTTACTATTTTCCAACGTGCAAATATTGTATGATCATAAATGGGACCTAGTGGTTTGCGAAAACTAGAAAATCGTTTCTACAACAAATCATAAAAAATAGAATGGAAAAAATATAAGAATTCTACAGAAAACTTACATTCGCCAGATGGAAATGTAAATTTCATATAATCTGAAACAAAATTACAGGGAATACACAACTAAAGTTTAACTGTGATTAAGCACGTCAACCGATGTTTACATTCCGTCTCTTGACTTTTACCTTACTGAAGAGAGATGGATTATTTTTTCTTATATGTTAGGTATTTAGATTTAAAAACTTTAAGCACAGGCACTCTGCGTCACAAAATATTTTTGATATAGAAGTAGCAATGAAATGCCACTATAATAACAATTTCATTGTTAGGTTTGAATAATTCGGGATTTTATCTTTTTGTACAGATACCTATAATATATATAATCATATTTATATAATAATTAATATAATTTATTATAGATATATATACTATATTATATATGTATATTATGTATGAGTGTATGATGTATGTTGTATGTGTGTGTGTGTGTGTTGTGTGTGTGTGTGTGTGTGTGTGTGTGTGTGTGTGTGTGTGTGTGTGTGTGTGTGTGTGTGGTGCCGATAAGTAAAACCTGCCATTTTGGCTTAAATCGCAGCGCACTTCTGGCTGAATACGGCAAGCGAAAATTTGTGTATGGAATAATTTAGCAAACATCATTCTGAATCTAACAAAAAAAATATATTTCATTGTGTTTGTTTATTGTAAACTTGTATGAAATAGATGGATTAGGCTAAATTGAACTGCGCTTGTTATAATAAGGTTAAGTTTTCTAAGGTGCTTCTGGTACAAAATCATAATTTTTTTTATTAACATAAATGAAAAAATATATCTTTAAATTTATTAGAGAAAATTTTAGAAGTCAATTTTAAACGAGTTCTTGCTAAGTGACCAGTTTTACTATTCGGCACGATATATATATATATATATATATATATATATATATATATATATATATAATATATAATATATATATATATATTTAGTGTTTATTAATGTGTTGTGAACCAATGTACGTTTAAAGTTGACAAAAGGGCTAGGCAAACACATGATCCCAACAAGAGCTATACAGACATAAGACTCCACCCACATTTATGCAAGCAAATAACGCCGACAAGAGCTATGCAAGAAAACCACCCTAAGGAACCTTGTCGAAAAACATACATACACCGAATTACCGAAGACTATGGGCGATGGAAGCCTACGACAGAACAATGTTGGGCAATACTGAATGCAGTATTTCTTAAGAAAAGCCTTTACTTTGAAATGATTTGAAGACAATAGCCATAGTCTTTTTGATTTATTGTTGTGTCGTTAGCTTACACCCCTGGACCACTCTCGTGTGTCGTTTGTTCAAAACATGCAGCATGTTATCTGTGCAATAAGCTCGTGCCACTGTATATAATTTTTTTTCTGCGTATAGGAACTCGCATGGCAAAAATTCATTGTAAAGGACATATCTCGCAAGCTTTGTTCCAGAAAACATTTGTACAGTTCATTACAGCTCCTATAAGATTTACATCAACTTTCTTGTTTATCAGCTACTACCCCAAAAACAAACAACTATTGTTTATTTACTAATATTATGAAAATAGGAATCACAGCGTAATGATAGGAACTTCTTACCTTCTTCCCTCCTACCCCATCCTCCTCCCCCCCCCCAAGCAAGTCCACCAGCGCAGGCAGAACGTAGTGTGTGATGTCCTGTGTACTAAACCACGCAGAAAAACAACTTTGTAACATCGAATAGCGCGCTTACTAAGCTGAAATATGTATAAGTTTAAACCAGTGTAAAAAATATATGAACGTGTATGATATGTATCTTTTTCTTTATAAGGAACATGAAACCGTTTGCATTTTGTTCATTTAAATGCCATTTTTGGCACGAAAATGTGAGCTAAAATTTGCATATCTTCGACTTGAGATGTCTCGTGTCTACATGTGTGTGTTTAACTGCTGAAAATGTGCATGGATCTCTGTGTGTTTACATAATTCTTATGAGGAACTTTCTACCTTGCTCTCAGGAACTCGAAAACGACAACGCTGGGAGATGACCACCTGATATGGCAACGCTGGGAGATGACCACCTGATATGGCAACGCTGGGAGATGACCACCTGATATGGCAATAATGGGAGATTATCCACTACTATATAAACACCTGCGATGGCAACACTGTTCTATACCGTGATATAACACTTCACTTGAACTTCCTAGAATAGTAACATACAGACATGACCATCTGATGGTAACATGCATCTGCATCATTGTCAGACTGCAACACTGCTGCATGAGTAGCATGCATGAGAACACTGATGTAGAACCTTTACATATGGCAACATTGTTGCATGACCAGACATGCAGTATAAATGTCATATATGGCAACACTACTGTAAGACTGTTATACATGGCAATACTATTGTATGATTATCATACATATCAGTATTGCTGTATGAATAGCATACATGTCAACACCGTTGTATGATTATCATACATAACAATACTGCTGTATGACCACATGACTATCATGACGTAGGAAAATAGCTGCATGACATGGTAACACTGCTGCATGATTACCATAGCATTGCAATATTGTTCCTTGACTGACAACATGGCAACACTGCTGCATAACTACCATGACAACACTGTTGTAAGATACCATAACATGGCAACATTGCTGCATGACTACCATAACATCGTGACTTAGCTGCATGACTACCACATGGCAACACTTCTGCAAGATTACTACAGGGCAACACAGCTGCAAGATTACCAAATGGCAACATTGCTGCAAGCCCACTATAATGTGGTAACACTTCTGCAAGATTACCATTACATGGCAACACTGCTGCCTGGTGCCATAACACAGCAACATTGCTGGCTACCGCATTATGATAATACTGTTGCATGGTTACCACTAAATGATAAGACTGCTGCATGAATACCTTACCATGGTAACGCTGCTGCTGCTGCATGAATACCATAACATGGTATACAATATCAGGATGGGCATTGCTGCCCTTCAGGCTGCAGTGGACAAGTGGTGGCTGTTCGTCGTATGTGTAAGTGTAAAATGTAAACATAGTCGACCTGGTTATTTTGTGTTGTTACAACTTACACCTGTCAAGCGAGCTAACTACCATGGCACTAACAAAACATTAAAGAATTATAACTCCTCTAAGTGACGAAAATTGTTAAGTTCCGCTACAACATGGAGAAAAGGTAGACAGCAAATGGTAATTACTGATAGTTTGTCGAATATAAGAAGCTAATCCTAATTAGCCTACAGCGGGCGGCTGCCGGAGCCCGCCCCGGGCGAGGCTTGACCAGGCGCCGCCCCTGAACACGGGAACCACCGTCCCAGGGCACCAACACCGCACCGCCCTCACGGCAGCCCAGCCGCACATGCGCAAGGTACTGGGCGCACCTGCGCTTGCAGGCAGCGCCGACCCCTCACACCTCGCACACCACTCATGGCTCCTCACCCACAAGGCTGTTTTGCATTAAAGATTTACTTCAATAAGAGGCTTTTAAGTTTCAATTAAAATATTCGAAAGGAATGAGAGGCAAGCCAAGAATTAGTATTAAGCATTAGCTGGATGTACCAAATATTACATATATATAGATTATATATATATATATATATATATATATATATATATATATATATATATATATATATATATATATATATATATATATATATATATATATATATATATTTGTATATATAAATTGTATAATGTTCAAAATATAGCAGCCAAAAATATCTATTTTGCCTATGGATGGTTTGGAAGGAATTTTATATTTGTATTATTTTAAGTTCAGGCAACTAATAACCCCAAGAAGTTTCTGTAATACATGATTAATTCTAACGTTATCTGATACAAATGAACGTTTTCAGAATTGACAATGAGGCCAGGAGGAGTGTTTTAGGTGGCCAGGCCGGCGCCCCCAGGCAGTCTGTAATGCTTTGGAAACAAAATGTACTGGTAAAATAGTGTGGTTTCAAGACCCTTAAGCGGCATGCTCTAGTCCAGCTGGAGTGGTCAATGTAAGAGCCACTTTATGTGCTCACTGTGCCTGTTATCTACTTCCAATTCCTTCCCTGAACTAGAGCCTCGATAAAGAACCTTTGGCCACGTTTCTACTGTTACGGACTAGGAAAATCTGAGGAGACAAACTCCTATTGACGGTCAGCGTCACAACTCTGCAGTGCTTGTGAAAACTGAATTATAAATATGGAGAAATTGGTCACAGAATGTGTGGAGATGGCGGTGTGAGTGGCCCTTTCACCCCGTCCACCGAGGATGACCCGCCACCACACCTCCAACTACACTTTGTATTGCTCTTGACGCTCCCTCTAAGTGACGGATCAGCGATTTGAGCCTTCTAGCGTTTACTCTCATCTCTATCTATTTTGAATAGCAAAAAAAGTACCCTTATCAAACCCCCAGTTAAAGACTAACAATTGCCGATCACATCACAACCACTGATAGGAACTATGGAACCGGTCTAAGGATTCTTAACAATTGAGAGGTAGTTCGGTAGTTTGCAGGCGGTTACCGCTGGCAGGTGATCGGTGTCAGTGCCCATTTAACCCGGTCTTCCGCAAACCATCACAACAATAGCACACTCATAGTACCATAGTTGATCGGCCAAGCACCCTACCACCACTGCTTAGCCTCCCGCTCCACGATACTCTGGATCTATGCTGTATGGAACTGTTCGAGTTTGTTGTAATAAATTTTACTACGTTAAATATGTTTGCCTTTAAATTGTTATAAGCTTTGTGTATTAAAACAGAATTTTAATAAGAAACTTTTCAAAGATTATCTTATTTAAAACCTAACTGCTTCTGTCATCCAGGCGCCTGATATGTATTTTGCAAGCTCAATATAACCTCTGAATTTACGATTGTTGCACAAGTTTATGTATATTAATAATGCTTATGATAATTTGTAAGCGTATCTTACTTGAAAACCAAGTCAGATCATAAGAAATTATTAATGATTTACTATTTAATGAAAGTATTTGCCAAAATGCTAACTTGTGCCGGCATCTGTGATATACATACTTCTAGGTGAACAATAAACACGCCATTTTGTTTTTTAAATAGTTAACAATTGCTGAAATTAATACCTTTAAGCTTGATCATCGAGAACTTATACAGGCCAAACAGCAGTGCCAGGGTGCCTACCAGAAATGCCAAGAGCCTGGACTTATTTCACAAATTAATGCTCCTCCTACTGATATCTGCCCACTGCTCTTCTCTCCCTCCAACCAGTAGCCGTACAATACATGCGTTGAGGTCGTCAGCGGAGTCTGCGCCTTCAGCATCACTTCAAGACGGTTACATGTTCGTAATTGTGTGCACAGATACGAACCTGTCTGAAATAAAACTAAATACAAAGTTCCTATTCGCTGACACCATGACTGGGTATCACTAATATTTGTGTGGATTTCCTATGGTGTATTCCTTTTAAACCTCCGAGCACAAGTTGACGGCTTTCATGTTTGTGTGGGGAACGTGGAGAAAAGTGGGGTTTTCTTATTATTTTGCATCAGAATGCACTTGCGTATATATGTTTCCCATGGGGGAGAATCTAGTGCGTAGATGTTAAGGGTTACATTTGAAGAATCTTGCGAGGTTTCCTTATCCTAAGTTTTCAGGATTATCACCTTGACATATGCGAGTCCTCCGCTGCTTTTGTCTCCTTAGGGAGGTGAGGAACTAGTGGACGCACGTCAGCGTCACCGGAGAACGTAAAGAAGCGGCCCTTGACCCGGGTAGCACGGGGTCACACTATCTCTACAGGAACATAGTACTGGCCACGATAAACCTACGTAGGAACCATTACCCACAGGATCAACTGATTGTATGAATGAATGCCCAAGCCCGCGCTCGAGCCGCCCGTATCCAGCACATGGGATACGCCCGCGCCTCATGCAGTGCGGACATTGTGAGGCCCTGCAGGCTACAGCGAGGGTGTGGGGGCGTGGTGGTGCGGGCGACCCGGCGCGGGCGGGGTGGTATGCGGCGCCTGGTGACCGCTAGCTACAACACGACGTCTACACGGACACAGGAGCGGCGAGGCCACAGCGACACACGACAGTGTTTGTGGGGCGCCGCCGCGGGGCGTTTACTGCGAGGCGTTAAGTGGGCGGGGCACGAGGCCCGGCCTGCGAGGAGGGGCGAGGCGACCCGGGCCAGGGTAGGCCTGGTCCAGAAGACCCGGGAGCCGCGCTGATCACTGAGGGTAGCAGCCAGATGGCCCAGTGGGCCACAAGTGGTTTACTCTACTGGCTGGGGGCCGGCTGCAGCCCAGGAGTTGAGGCAGCGTTGTCCTTGTTTATGTTGCCGTTGGTGTCGGTACCAGGGTGCGCCGCCTGCGCCAGAGCTGTAATCTGTCTCACCACTGCCGCCACCTCCGCGTCTTCCACCATGGTGCCGCCCGCAGAGCTCACCGTAGCTAACGACACCCGGTGCTGCTCGCTCTCCAGGTGGCGACGGTAGTCCGCCAGGGTGGCGGCGTGGTGGCGACACGCCGTGCACGCATACAGCAGCTGCGTGAGCCTGAGGACGCCGCGGGTGTGGTCGAGAGCCCGCTGGTGGGCGGCCAGGAGGGCGGGCGAGGGAAAGACGAGGCGGCAAGACTTACACACCCACCCAACCTCCCCTTCAGCGTGCTCCGCAGTCTCGCCAGCCTCGCTCGCCTGCCCGCCGTCCAGCGTGAAGCTCGCCCCAGACGACCCTGGAGACCCCAAGTGGGCGTTGAGCTCGGCATGGGCGGAGGGGGGCAGCTGTAGCATGGAAAGCGGCGTGCCGCCCCCGTAGGCTCCTCCTGAAACTTGATCGAATCCGCAGCTGCCCATTCCGCCTCCACCGCTAGTGCTGGTGCCACCATTACCTGCGGAAAGAACGCAACTGTCAGAACAGATTCACCATTACATTTGAGACATTGGCGTCGTTACATAAAATATATTTAATCTTTAATGTTCTAAAGCAATTTAGCAGCATATTATGATAATCATGGGGGAGCGCTGAACCCGTAGGATTATACGGCGCACGTGGGGGGGGATAAAAGGTATTCAGGTCAATTCAGGGAACCTGAGCATAGATCCAATTTCCTAGATCAAGAACCCCTCACCAGCGTCAAGGAACCTCCCTTGGGAGAACTTGGCAGCACAAATCAGGTCAATGCATAAACATTTCAATAATTATCTACACTCCAAATGGTAAAATAAAAGTCATTAGCTATCAAAATTGTGACTACCTACTGTAAACAGCATCACTATAACAATCTACCTGGAGGGTAGTCCGGGGATCAACGCCCCCGCGGTCCAGTCCACCACTAAGTCTCCCGGTGGATCAGGGCCTGATCAACCAGGCTGTTACTGCTGGTCACACGTAGTCCAGATACTTTAAGTATCTGTCCAGCTCCCTCTTGAAGGCTGCCAGGGACCTATTGGTAATTCCCCTTATGCATGGTGGGAGACTGTTGAGCAGTCTTGGGCCCCGGACACTTGTAGTATTTCCTCTTAGTGTACCAGTGGCGCCCCTACTTTTCATTGGGGGTATTTTGCACCGCCTGCCCAGTCTTTTACTTTTGCAGGGAGTGATTTGTGTGTGCAGATTCGGGACCATTCCTTCTAGGATTTTCCAAGTGAAGATTATGATACATCTCCCTCACCTGCGTTCCAGCGAGTACAAATCAAGTGCTTTCAAGCGTTCCCAGTAGTTGAGGTGTTAGATAAAACTTATACGTGCAGTAAAGGTTCTCTGTACACTCTCTAGATCTGCAATTTCACCTGCTTTAAACGGAGATGTTAATGTACAGTAATATTCCAGCCTAGAGAGAACAAGTGATTTGAAAAGGCTCATCATTGGCTTGCATCTCTTGTTTTGAACGTTCTCATTATCCATTCTATCATTTTCTTTGCAGTTGTGATCGTGGCACTGTTGTGATCCTTGAAAATGAGATCCTCAGACATTACCACTTCCAGATCCCTCACATTATTTTCCCGCTCTATTGTATGGTCAGAGCTTGTAGTATACTCAGTTCTAGTTATTATCTCCTCCAGTTTTCCATAACGAATTAGTCTGAATTTGTCTTCATTGAACATCATATTGTTTTCTGTTGCCCACTGGAAAACTTGGTTTATATCTTTTTAGAGGTTAACCGTGTCCTCAACAGATGACAGCCTCATGTAGATCCTAGTATCATCCGCAAAGGATGATACGGTGCTGTTAATTACATCTCTGATATGAGGATGAGGAACAGGGTGGGTGCGAGTACTGTGCCTTGTGGAACAGAGCTTTTCACTATGGCAGCTTCCGATTTAACTCTGTCGACGACTACTCTTCGTGTTCGATTGGTTAGAAAGTTGAAGATCCATCTCCCCACTTTGCCAGTTATTCTTTTAGCACGTATTTTGTGCGCATTACGCCATGACCGCACTTGTCAAAGGCTTTTGCAAAGTCTGTGTATATTACATCTGCATTCTGTTTTTCTTCCAGTGCATCCAAGACCATTTCATAGTGATCCAGTAGGTGCGAGAGGCAGGAGCGACCTACTCTGATCCCATGTTGCCCTGGATTGTGCCGTTTTTGGAACCCATGTGGTTTGCAGTCGTGCTTCTTAGCACTTTTGAAAGATTTTATAATGTGAGACGTTAGAGCTATTGGTCTATAGTTCACAGCTAATGCTTTCCTGCCACCTTTATGGAGTGGAGCTATATCCGTTGTTTTTAGTGACTGGAATTTCACCCATGTCTAAGCTACTTGTCCTTAGTATACTTGGGGCACGCGAAAGCGATATTTTGCAGTTCTTAATGAACACAGAGTTCCATGAGTCTCTGCCTGGGGCTGAGTGCATGGGCATGTTGTCAATAGCTTTCTCAAAGTCATTCGAAATTAGGAAATGTCGGAAATCTGGTATACATTGATGGAATTTTGAGGCTCATTCATGAAAACATCATTTGGAGGTGATTAAAAGATATAAAGCAAAAGGAGACCTTTATTAGTACAACCTTACACTTACAGGAGGCTTTACCATGTACACAGAATTTTTAAATAACGACGTATATATAGGGTGAAGTGGAGCTGTACCATCCGCGTGTAGGTAAGGTGACCTGTCAGACAATGTCAAGATGAAGGCGTCAAGTGCTGGCAATGGAGATCGCCCAACCTGACCCCTCTCTCACCTCGACACTGCCTGACGGGTCATTTTACCTACACCGCATGGGACATCTCTACTTTAACTTCGCCCAGCACCTAATTCCATAGCTTTTCGTCAATATTTACATACGTCGCCAGTTTAGAAATTTTATGTATTTGACGAAGCCTCATGTAGGTGACACTTTGTCCTAATATAGGACACCCTTTTTGCTCTCTTTGCCACTTGCCAGTTATGCTATAATTCAACTACCCGACAACAATGAATACACCTGGTGAAACTTTCATAGCAATTAATTACTGGAAAACACGTCAGAAACTTATTTTTAAACAGACGAGTGCTTAATAAAGGGTACACGAGTAAGCAGATTTAAAAGAATAACCTGGAGAATACCCAATAATCTGGAGATCAGTTCTGAGGATAGGCCTCCTCGCAACACAGAAAAGTGGTGTCCAAAATTATTCTACTTTTGGTGCTTTATGAAAAAAATAAATATTTTAGGTACCACATAATTGTCGACAATGATTGAAGAGAGCTTTCGAGAATTTCTATTTCCTCTCTTTTTAAATCTATCTTTTCTTGGATCACTTGAAGGTTTCGCTATTAAATTGCCTATTTTTTCCGATGACTTTAAGGTCACTACTCCTCGGAAAACAGTCAACTAAAGTAATGCGTATTTTTATATTGCCCCAAACTAACCTAGCAACCTAATGTATTATTATTATATTCACAGGGAAGCGCTAAACCCGCAGGGTTGCAACCTAATGTAACCTTGCTAAAATTTACCTATTATAAAATACCTAATAATTTGCATAACTTTGGTTAAAAGCTTTTCTTAGGGGTGAATATTCATGTGACCCCCTTTTTTTGGACTTGAATATATTAAGGTTTATTTAAGAGAAGGTTGCAACGAAAATAAGAAAGGATAGACATGTTAATTTATCATGAGATACGACTGTCTCCCGCCCTGCCTGGTCATAATGGGCGCGCCTTAACGCCCACTCCCCTTCATTATGTCAGCTCTTGGACCCCGCCTATGGTTAAAACTGCCTAATGACCCTACCATAACGTCTACTTCCCAACATGTCATACCATCTTTGACACCGCCCATTGCCCAGCTCGGGAGTTTGAGCTGTAACGTGCTTACTACTTATCTTGAGGCCCACGGAATCCTTCCACTTAGAAGCTATCTTTGTCCGAGGTCGCTTTCTGACAGCCATCCATATCATTACAACTCTTTTAGTTTATTCTAAGGCCACAGTTATTTTCTGCCCACTATTCTAATTTTGGTGCCGAATGAAAAAATAATTATTCAAAATGATTATATTGAACCTGGACAATTTTACGGCTCTTGTGTCACTGAATTTCCTGCTACTATGATTGTGATTAAGGCTTCTAGTTAGGCCTAAAATACGCAAGTTATTTTGTGACTGTTGAATGCGGGTTACTCTTTTCTTCTTAACATGTAGAAACACGTTGAAAACTTAAAAAAAAAAATAAATGATGGTAGTTAAACGTTGTCTTAACAATCTGATATTATAATAATTTCCTGAATATATGATAAGCTGCAAGGCTGGCCCGCGAAGTTCTTTTCTACTCTGGTACAAGCAGAATTTTCTTTCCTAGATTGTACTTAATTTCTGGTGCCGTTATACTTTTCCAGTCTTTATTACTCGGTGAGCGTGCTGGAGAGAGGGTGCGTGGGTGAATGAGTACGTGTGTGCGTGTATGGGTACGTGCGTGGGTGCATGTGTATAACTGTCTTTTCGTAATTACCTATTTGTGCCCATGGTGTTCCATCTTCAATAATTTGTTCATCAGATATTTTTAAAATTTCCAATGGTTGCAGCAGTTGCAGTACTATCAACTCAAACTTGTTTAAATAATTCCATTGGTCAGTAGCTCTGCTCGCGTAGAAAAATGTTCTGGCATCCCTTCGGTTCCACTTTTCCTCCCCTCACGGGAGGTTCCTTGATGCTGGTGAGGGGCTCTTGGTCATGGGAATTGGATCTGTGCTCTATTTCCCAGAATTAAATCTGAATGCCTTCCATATCCCCATCCCCACAGGCGCTGTATTATCTCTATGGGTTTAGCGTTCCCCCATGATAGTAATAATAATCCACTTTTCCTCTTTTTATTACTGTTGCCTCTTGTTATTCGTGTGGCAGTTATTAAAAAAATTTCCTTGTCTATTATATAATGTCCTTATATATGGTTATTATGTCTCCCTTTTCCTATCATTCACTATACTGTACTATCTTTAGTGTTTCCAGTCTTCGCGAGTCATAGATTCTAATTCTGACAGTCATTTTGTAGTTCCTCATTTGATGTTTTCTTGAGAGTCCATTTTTTTTTGTGTGTGTGAGGGACTACACAGCCGTTACTTCAGTTTTGGCTTAATATATGCTATAAACACCTTTTTTTCAACATTTCTCCATCCATATATTTGAAAGCTATTTTATAATTCGCCAGTGTAGCATATGAATTTCTAGGATTTTCTTTTGTACGATCTTCCGAAAATTTTTTTTTAACTCCTAGATCCCTCTGATACGTTGAGTTAGTCATAATTAACACTGAGCCTGACTCTGATTATTACCGATTCTGTCATCACTGAAGGGGCTTGACTCTCGTAATGACTAATAGCATATTCACTGGAGAAGCCAGATACAGATACTCAATTAACCTCTCCTCATAGAGCATATTCCTTACTTCCGGGACTACTCTCG